AACTCAGGTATAGAAACACAAGAGATACCACAGTGCCATTTAGTTGTTTTAGGAAATAAGGAAAATCACAAGGTGGTTTTAGACTATTTAATAAGAGGAAAAAAATATGCTCAATAATCTCTTTGAAGTGTGAAGTAGTTAAAGCTATAATCACACCAGATAACAGAAGATGGTGATACGGGTATGGCGCGTGTTTAAACCATGATAAGATAAGAGTAAGATATCCATTGAGAGACCAATAGATAGTGGGTGGGGGAGATTGTTTGATGAGAGTTTTAATTTCGTATCCACCTCTCCGCTCTCCTCCTCCTCTTCCCTCCGTTACCAGTTTAATTATTTTACCATTGCTACTTTACTGGTCCCCCCCCACACATACGCACACATCATCGACGTCACCCCCCACACACACACACACGATCGTCATTAAACTACTGAACTACATATTTTCCTTCTCGTGTTCCTCATCTCACCGTCTACCACAACCCCACCTGCCCGTCATCACAGACATACAGGCAGACATAATAAGTCATAATGTTGATAAGAGTATACAAGTTGTGTCGTGTGTTGATAACGAAGACACCAGCACAACTTGACTGATAATAATATTTCCTCTTCTCTTGTCACAAACTAAATCAGCTGATGGTGAGGTATAGACGAGTGTCGGCCGTGACGTCATTGATGTGTCCCTAAGATCGTGCGTCGTCCTGGATGTAATGTGTCGATTGTGACGTAGGTGTGTCGATGATGGCATTATGGGTGTGTCTACCGTGATGATATTTGACGTTAGGTGTATAGTGCGTGACGTCGTTGGTACGGTGTGTTTAGGTTAGTGTCACATGTATTGGCGAGGACACATCACTGGGCCAAGATTGTGACATAGGAGTTACAAGTGATCGCGGGCAACTTCGTGCCCAGTGAAAGTTTGAACGCTCGTGCCGTACAGCGAATGAGTGTGCGCCAAGTCCTTAGACTTGCATCCTTTTTCATCGTAAATAAAATGGTTAATTAATGCCTTCCTAAAGAAACCATCAACATGGGACCAGGTTTGTTACACTCTACGAATTTTTTGCGATTTTTCCACCAAGTTTGATGAAAAACGATTGTGCCGTTTCAGCTGCCCAGAACAGACAGACAGACAGCCACACGCCTTGTCCTATAGTATATTAGATTAACAACTTTCGGGTTATTGATTAGAACTAACTTTACATCTGAGAATAGTTTTCATATCTGTTTTTGTTAAAAAACTGGTAGTTTACTCTTTTTTTTTTACAAAATGATTCGTATAAAAAAATGTAAACACTTTACATGTGATGCTGTTTAAAAAATGAAACTGATCAGTGTAACACTGGCCAGATGTGTGACCTCAGCCTAGAACTTTGACCTTTAGTTTAAGTTTTAATAAAACAAATTTTTTTTAGTTATGTGAAAGCATGTTTAAAAAAAGAAAAGAAAATAAGTGATAGTTACTAGTGAAAGCCTTTTATTGTTGTTATTTTGTTCAGCTGGAGCACATCTCGTAGTCTCAACCAATCTAGTCAAAATTGGGTGGAAATTCCTCTTACAAATCCTTTGTGACCCACGGCGGCCTGGTTGGGTGTTTCCCACAAGCCCCGCCAAGAACCGGCTATGCACTGATGAACATTATGTCCCAGTGAGGCGAATGAACGGGTGACTCATGAAGTTTCCAACCTCAAAACATCGCCTACTGAGTGAAAGGTGAAAGTTGGGTCCATAGGCCTGATGGTCCATTAGGGGCAGTGAGGATACCGATACAGTATGTTGTACGTGAGACGTGTATCCTGGTTCCATACATGGTACTGTTGAAGTTATATGATAATTGTACAATCTTCTGTCGTGTGACTCTCGTTCTCCTGGATTCATTATTAGAAATGAACCTAATTATAATAAGTTGCGGATGACTTAAATGGGATTTTTGCTTTTCTGCACGAAGATGTTGCCCGGGGCCTTTTTCCTATTTGCATTGACCATCTCACATAATATACTGTATTCCCATGACACGATATTATGGTGCTTTTTTTCACAATGTCTCTACGTGACTAATTTTATCTTTGTATGATGCTTTTATTTGTAAAACACCACAATGGTACTGCTACTGCAAATTATCTTTTTTATTATCGTGCAATATTTACATGAAATGAATAACTGCAGCGTCCCGGTATGTGTATTGTGCTTTTAGTAATAAACAGCGGATATATCTGTTGACTTCATGCAACAATCTCATTACCTGCGTTGCATTCTTCTGGTAAACCAGTGCGTGGTGGCCAAACTGCACACACCTGTTAGCGCTCCACTGTAATGTCCAGTTTGTGGGCTGGATTTGATTATCATGCTAGGAAAAATGAAAATTGGTTGCAAGAACTTATACAAGATTTCAATGAAATTTCTATGATTTTTAAAAAGCTGGTAATTATGACTAGTTGTTAGTAGAAGCCTACATTTTGTTTATTTAGGTATACTGTATACCTAAATAAAAAAAAACGTAGGCTTCTACTAACAACTATTCACACACACACACACACATATGTATATATATATATATATATATATATATATATATATATATATATATATATATATATATATATATATATATATATATATATATATATATATATATATATATATATATATATATATATATATTCGTGTCCATTGTGTAACTTCAAACTTTTAACCATCATAATATATCCACCTAGTAGCTAGCCTTATCAGAGTCTAACCTCATTATCTCTTGGGATTCAATCGACAGACTCCTTGGCCCATTGTTAGTCTATTTTTCTTGTTACATGGCATGGTCTCCCTCTTACTATTCCAGTCTCTTTGCCCTTGCAATAGTATATCTAACTTTGGTTTGAAATTTTGTCCTTTTTGTCTGTGTGTATTAAATCTAATACAGTACAGTATACATCTTCTCTTGCTTCTATGAGTAGTCTGGATTTTTTATATAATTTTTGTGTTTACTCGCTATAAGCCAGCACTGGTCGGCGTTTAACCCGGGTTTTATTTATGGGTGTTGATGGAACTCCTTTTAATTAATTAATTAATATTTTTTTATTTACCGCTTCAAGATTCCAGCGTTAGTACAGGTTGAAACCGTATTACTTGGAGAAAATCTGTGATGTCCTCTTCATTAAATTCTTATTGATCTCCATTATTTCATGATTTAGCATAACAGTTTGCTTTCCAGTTGCTGAGACGACGTATTTGTTATATCTTAGGTTAGTTCGCTGCTCAGACTCTCATTTAAACTCTTATGCACTTGATCTTTTTAGTTCACTTCTGAACTTGGCTGAATTTTTACTTAGACTTTCTAAATCAATTGAATTATCTTATTTTTGATCATACATTTTTTTATTCAAACGGCAGCTGCAAAAGAGGGTGACAAAAGAACGTGTAATAAAGTAAGTTTATAAGGAAAGTAACAATACATATGAGTGAATGCAGAAGATGAGATGAAAAGATAATGGTAAGATTGTACTGTCACAGGGTCTTGAAGATAACAAGGAAGCTGTTTTGGAGGGAACTGAATATGGTGAGAAAACCAGGAGATCAAATATAAATATTGTAATTTAGAATGAAAGAAGTATTATTATGCCGAGAATAAAAAAGTAGAGAAATTGGGGAGAATATTTTGATCACCAGCTGAATGTAACAAATGAGAGAGATGCTGTAGAACAGTGATAAAAAGGATGATAAGAGTTTGCAGTGCATGTATGGCAGGGGGAAGGGAACAAAATTATTATAATTTCCCTGTAGAAAAGAGAAGGCTGTAAGAAATAATGTAAAGAGCTTTGAGGAATGAGTGTTGAGTAGTTTTTACAGGAAGAACTATAGCAAAAATATGAGATTTATCAAGGGAAGAGCACTGTGGGTTTAAAACGGGGAAAAGATGTTTGTTTTTACAGTGTGATAATACACGTCCTTTTATCTTGATATCGTGTGAAAATATCTCGTTTGTCATCAGAGTCCAAGAGGATAGCTCTTCCTATATATCTTTAACTTAAAACCAGACACTGTACTGTACATTTACCTCGAGGCTTAGTCCACACCAAAAAAATTAATTTCGTAATGCTGTGTCTTAAAGGTGTAGATGGTGGAAGCTGCTGTGTTGCTTGGGTGGAGCACTAGATTATTCTAGATGTGTTTTTCGTATTGGCCTTTAAAATCAACAGTAGAAGTTGGCAGAACTGATGAAGTATCTTTGCTTTAATGCGAAATGGAATTCAGTTCAGGTAGCTATCACTAGGTTCGTTATGAATTTAAATACTCAAATATAAACGTACGTATCGTATACCTGTATGAATATAAATTTTAACTTGTAGTTATATAGGACAATTATGTCATTAATGACCTAGTTCAACTTTTTCCCTTGAAAGTTTCGTCGAAGTTTCTAATCTTAAGTACGAACATTTACTTAAAATGTTATCAACGGATTGGTGTAGTAGATGTGATAGTACTGGTCTAGACTCCCATCAATGGATGAATCAGACGAATTTTTACAGAAACTCTCCAAACGTCTGGTATTAAGAGATAAAAGGGAATTTCATAGCTTTTCGCCTTGTATCATTGCTTTTCATGATCTCCAGTTTGTAGTTATTCAGGCTTTGGTGCGATTGTTTTAAAAACTATATATACCATTTAATTAATTATGCTAGAATAGTTAAATAATTGTGGCACGATGTAACCTCGCAATCTTAATTAAAAATGTTGAATGATAAGGTTTTCAGATAAATTGAACCACCAATTGTGTCATCAATGACGTCAAATTGTTTCCAAAAACTCTAGTAAACATTTTAACATATCATATAAGATGTAGCGATTAATTTGAGTATTTTAATTAGATTAAAGATAATTATAGAAGATCATACTAAAAAGAATATAATAAATTAATAGTCTGTAGTAGAAGATAAATAATATATTGTGGGTTTCAGTGGCAACCTTTGGCACTGAGGAGTGCCAATGCGCGCGCAAAGAAACTTGGTATCCGATCTGTCACTCGTGTTTGGGAGAGTATCGATTTTTGACCAGTGTTCAGTTGGATACTGTTCATGCCACGAGTGGAATATGTATCTTGGTGTGTAACACTTGATTGAGATATTGAAGCAGTGTAAGTGAGGCTCAGAGAACTAGCAAGATGACTAAGGACAGACTTGCAGCGCTGAGAGCGGTGAGTACCAAGATTGCGTCGTCTGCTGTCACTAGCTCAATATGGCCCCGTCCTGACATTACCTGCACCACTCACGCCCCCCTGCCTTGTACCACGCCTCCATTACACGCAACACTACTTCTCACACACACTCAGATGATAAACTAAGAAATGCTAGGCAAATGAAACAAAATTACTCTAGATGAAAGTGAGGAATTGTCAGGTTTCCACGGTGGCACTCTCCTCCCATTTCAACAACACAGGCCAAAACAAACAAATTTGCATGTTGTGTTACGTGACATCATTGTTTTCAGTTAATATCCAAGCGTCTGTCGAAACGCACTGGAAGAATAATATGTTAGGTAGAACTTAAACTTTGTTACAGGCTAAGGTTGTCTAGTTTATATTATGGTCAAATCCCTCAATCTCGTAATCCTTTAATTTTCCTTTTACTTACTAAAGTAAATAAATCTTAGGAACTGGATATTGTACCAAGCAATATTTGTGCACTGGAAGTATTCCTCTCTCTGCAAAGTAGCTTTTGCAGACAACATCAAAAAGTACTGTAGTCAACTTGCAATGTTCAGTAGGCCATGCCCTTGTAAAACAATAGAGAATAACCAATGTTTCCTTATAGTGAGAAACTGTTAATTTAAGGGAAAATATTTTGGTAAGACTGTACAACAGGAGCACCAGTAGACTAAATTTTTAAAAAAGAATTTCAAAAACATTTATTCTAATGCACATTATATTTGACGGATCATGTGTCAAAATTACTGTGAATGATACTAACTTTGCATTATAAACAAAAACCATCACGGAACTATGTTATTTTAACAGGAATAAATTGTTCAGTGATTTGCTCCTGTTAGTGAAAAGAATTCAGTACTGTATTAGTTTTTGTCAATTGGCCAAAGTGTTGTACCATGAAGCCTTGGCAAACATATATCTAAAATATATAAAAATTAAGTTATTTATTGCAAATCTAATAATGGATCCATTAATTAACAAATGATTTACTGATCCCAAAACTAGTGTAGTGGTGCTCTTAATGCAAAGTTTAATATTACCCAGAGTTATTATACATATTTCTAACGTAGACCAATATAACCAGAGCTGCATGGATTCTCCGGTGTCTTGTTTTTCAAGTAATTCTCCTCCAGAGACTTTATAGTATTGAGGCTTGCGCACTAATGAATTATGTTGTGTTGTGAGTGCATTATGTACTATTATGAGAGACTTCAGCAAAGTTAATTGTTAAGAATAAGAACACCACAAAGCTCAGGAAAGTAGGGAAATTGTTTTTAGAACATACATTACATAAATATATTTCTTATACAGTATATGGTTTATATCTTGTGTCAATCTTCAAATTGATACATTTCATTTGTCAACGATGAAAATATAAAAAAACGAGCAAAACGATCCAACCAAACATAATTTCCCCTAGCCTCACCAAAGTTAACAATCCAAGAATATTGGTAAATTTTAAAAATCATTTGAACGAACCGAGTGATTAAAAAAAAAATACTTAAAAGAAATATTAAAAGTTAAAGTACAGTATATGTATACTGTACAGTACAGTACAGTTGGTGAATAAGATTCTCATCATTGATTGGAAAGCCAGTGGAAACTGTATTTAAAAAGATAGATAATACTTTACTGTAGGGGTACCACTAAAATAGTGGTTTATTGGGTGTTTGTTTATAGATTTGTTTTTTATTTGTACGTAAAATGCTTGAATTTAATGAATTTGCTGTTGGAAATGCACTAAAAATGACTAAATTTGGATAATGTAAGTTGGCTGTGTCCTCTGTGTTCACAGTACTTTGGTGAATTGAAGAAAACCATTCCTGAAATCCTTTTTTTTTTATGAGGGAATGAAACACTGAGTACAGTATTAGGGTACAGTACTTGAGTATGTATCAGTCTGTGATGGTTTTTGTCAGTTCACTAAATGATACCGTGTACATACCATTTCATATTTAAATTCAGAGTAATTTTATTGGAATTTTGAGTAACAAATCCTAAAAACCTTTAATTTATTGGTGCCCCATTTGTAAGCATCATCAAAAGCAATGTTTATTAGATTATACAGTATAACTGTGCCATACTGTGATGCACTTTAGTAGCAGATGTAACGTACAGTAGTGGAATCATTAGATGTGACTAATGCTTAATAACTTGGCAAAAAATTATTACAGTACAGTACTAGATGTCATTTGGATTCCATCTATATTATATGTACTGTATGTCGTTAAAACAAATGGTGGGAAATATGGTGGTACAGCAGCAAGGGGTGCTGGTGATATAGCGGTAACGTACATATCTCTCGCCAATATATTGAGGGTTTGAGTCCTGCATGGCCAGGACATACGTGAGAAGGGTGTTATCCATTGTGACATTACCAAACATCACAGGTTTCCCGGACTCTGGTTTCCTCCTGTACTAACACTGGATAGACCAAACGGGCAAAATAGTAAATAAAAATTTGACAATATTCAGTGGTCCATTCCTGTTACAGTACAGGGAGAATCATAATTGAGCCCTTAAAAGGCATCCATCATTGGTGGAGGTTAGTTGTAGGGATGGCAGCCATCATCCTTGTGTTCCATTTTTGCATATATGGAGGAGTTAAACATGACTAGAATAGTAGGATTTAAGTCATTTAGGTGTGTTAAGTGACCTAGAACATTGAAAAAAGTAAGACCTAAAAGTTGAGGTTAGAATCATGGCAGTAAGGCTAGACCTCTACACAAAAAGCTTATTAATCTGTCTTCAAAAAAGAAGTGCTGCAGTTATCATTTATTAATGACTGACTTGTGAATTGTCAAGTCCAGCAATTTTTGGGATGGTTTGCAAGTAGCTAGTGGCCTCTGTTCGGATGATGTCCTTGTGACAGTGTTGCAGATGATATTTTTCTATAATGCATTACGCCAAACGAACAGTGCAATGAACAGCCATACGTGTACAAACATTAGCTCAATATGAATGAAGTTTGGATAGTAAAAAGTAAACTGTGTATGCAAATCCAGTTTTTGTGAAGTCGGTACTGTGTTTATGCAAATCCAGTTTTTGTGAAGTCGGTACTGTACAGTATAAATGAGGGCAACTTATTTATCCTTGGCAACATAATTGTAGGGGTAGTACAAGGCACTAAATGGGTGAAAGTATGCCTTGAAGAGAATCTGTATATATGCTCAGCTTTCTTTGCCACAATGAGATGTTTTTGGGAAGAATTGCAGTTCTAGGATGACCACTGCTTTGAAAACTGGTTGTGAATATAGTCAGTCCTCGACTTACGACGGGGCTCGGGACCGACGACCAGGTCGTAAGTCGAAAATGAGAAAATAATACATAGAAAATCTAAAATGGGTGTCTCTTTTTCTTCTCAACACCACGAGAACTCTCACTTTTACGCTTGCCAGCCATTTTAAAGGGATTTACAAAGGAAATTTTTGTCAGTATACAGCGCGAGCACTAACGTCGTGACTCGAAAATACGTAATTTGAAAAATATTTTACACGACTGCGGTGTATGTCCGGGTGGTCGTAGGTCGAGTAGTACCTGTATTATTTATCTAAAAGGTGTAGGGAAGGGTTGCTACCTTATTGTACAGAATTTTTATGGTGGAATCTTTGTTTGTTTTCATGTACTGTATAAACTTCAAATTAATTATCTGAGAAAGGAGAAGTCGTTGGTTAATGAATCAACGGTTATTGAAGCAATTAATCCCATAAGAACATAACAAATTCAGGGGGTTAGGGACCGGCCACCCTCCAAAACTCCCATCTCCACTTGATATATTTCTGTACTGCACATTGCCGAGCAAGAAATTAAAGAAGACATATAAAGCAAGTATAATAAACCTTTAATAAGCAATGTAAAGCATACATTGAGACTGTTTTTTACCTGTTTTGAGGAAGGTAGAGATGGTCTAGGGTGGCAAGTTCAAGTCTCTACTACTCATTGTTGGTCCATCACCACTCTTATTACGCCTTATTATTCTTTATCGCATCACATGATGCTGCCCAGCACAAGAGGAACTATCACTGGGGCGTTTAGGCATGATTGAGTAACACACTAAGTCAAAATAATGAAAAAATAAAGTCAGAGACACACAGTAAGTGTCAACAAGAGCAAGGATGGCCAGAATGAATCGGGGCAGAGCCGTAGATAGAGTGAGTTCAGCCAACTGGGTGCCATGTTGTTACACAGCAGTTGGGAACTGGGAGGTCTTCTCAGGCTGCTGTTCTCTGGGTGTTTTCCGCATTATGATCGGATTTATGACTAATATCACATTATATGTAGAAACCATTATTAATGAGAGGGTCCTCATATTACCAAATGGGTAATTATATATACAGTACAGTATTGTACTGTACAGGGGGTCCCTGGGTTACGAACAGGTTCCGTTCCTGAGGATATCCTTAAGTCAGATTTGTACGTAAGTCGGAACATGTGCTATGTGCATACTGTACTTACAGAACAATGTTTAAAATCAACTATATCATAGCCTAAGTCCTAATGCACATCTAAAATCACTTAATTTAAGACAAAATAAGAAATAGAATAACAAAATACTGTACAATAAATGATAATAAAAAATAAGTCATCAGGTAAATGAAATACTGTAAATTTCAAGTTTAACCCCGTTCGTATTGGTGGGTGTATATTATATACAAATGTAAATCCATATTAATCAATAAGTTGTGTCTGTTAAGTTTTATTAAAAATAATTTTAAGTAGAATAAAGTTTAGAATAGAAAGTGAATTATCTGAAGAGGAAAATGGATTTAGAAAGGGAAAAGGAACCAGAGAAGCTGTATTTGGTTAAGGAGTTTTGAGTGAAAGGGCTTTAGAGGTCCAAAGAAATTGTTACATCACCTCTGTTGATTTTGAAAAAGGTTTTGATAAGGTAAAGCACACTAAACTTGTAGAGATCTTGGAAAAATAGGCATTAAGGAAGGATATATTAGAATTTTAAAGAATCTTTACTGGCAACAAGAGGCTACAGTGTT